CCCCTTTTAAAAGGGGGGGACTACAACTCACAGAATCCCCCAGCCAGCCAGGGGGAATTCTGGGAGTGGAAGTCCACTCATCTTAAAGTGGCCAAGTTTGGACAACACTGGTATAGAGCTATCAGGATCAGGAGCCATTAATAAGTTTCTCCTCTGTGATTTTTCCTTACCTTCTTTCAAAATTCTCTAAAGAAGTGATGGCTATCACCATATCTGTAGCAATGAATTACATAGTTTAACTGATGCATTTCATTAAAAAGTATTGTATTTATCTGAAAGAAAGACTACTATTTTCCCCACATAACTTTCTCCCACTCAGTGAGCTTCATGTTTGATGGACTTGAACTTGGATCTCCATGGACCAAATCCAACATTTTAATCTTTATACAAAAGTGTTGGGGTTTCTTCTCTCTGAACTTTCTTTTGGGGAAGACTTTGGGAAGAATTCAGGGTTATCTTTCTTTCAGGTAAGTATGAGGGTTGAATGAAAAGTAATGCCTCCAATATTATACATTTTAAATTTTGTATTTAAATATTGTTTGTTTGTTGTTAGTTTTTAGTTTTTTTTCTTTTTTGATTTATTGTGTGTTTATGTTGTATGTCACCCAGACTCTCACAGTTGGGTGGCTTTAAACATCTTGAAATAAATAAAAATAAAGAAATAAAGTCACCAACAGATGGCAGTACTGATGCGCTAGAACCTTGCTGTCTGGGGAATCCTGGGAGTTGAAGTCCACAGGTCTTAAAGTTGCCAGAGTTGAGAAACACTGGGCTAGAAGCTCTGACATGTTTTTTAGTACCTGTTATTTCACTTATTTCTGTGAGAAAAGGTTGTATTACTGTAGCTCATGAAATGGAAATCTGCAGTGAATACTCATCAATGCACTTTAAGCAATATGCTGTGATTGAGTTTTTGACTGCTGAAGGAGTCCCTCCATCTGGGCCAAAAAATATAAAAATAGTGAACTGGGAATTGCTGATTTGTGTAATCAAGAACAAAGTAGATGACCTGTGATAGCAGCTGAAGAGTTTTACATGAGAAAGGTTGATGAAATAATTAAGGACAATGAAAGGGAAATTGTTGTCAAGCTTAGCATTTTGCAGAAATGTGTATCAGAAAGTTTATGCAAAATGGGTTCCTCACAAGCTGACAGCAGAGATGAAAGCTTCAACAATTGAAATTTATAGCAATTGTTGTTGTCATGCTGTGAGAATGAAGGTGAGGAATTTCTTCACAGTATTGTGACAGCAACAAAATATGGGCTCATGATTATGATCCAGACATGAAGTGTCAGTCCATGGAGTAACATCATAAAGCTTCACCTGCGGGGGGAGGGGGCAGGCTTTAGCAGAAAAGCTCATGGTTACAGGTTTTTTTGGGACACAGATGGTGTTATTCACATGGATTTCCTTGAACCTGGCAATGCTATCAACTCAGAGCATTCCATTGCAGCACAAACATTTTGTTAGAATGATTCAGCAGAGTTCAGGAGCGTAAGAAGGAAATTTTCCTGCAACACAACTCTAGGCCTCCTTATGAACCATCCAAGAGGCAATTGCAAAGCTGGATCTCACTGTCTTACCCCATCCGCTATGTAGTCATCTTGGCACTGTGTGACTTCCACCTTTTCCCAAAATTGAAGGAACACCTTTATGGGCATCTGTTTGACCCAAATGAAGAAGTAGAAATGATTGTCTGGACCTGGTTGAAGGGACAAAGTGTGGAGGTTTTTATGACAGCCTTAAGAAACTTGTCCATTGTTGGCAGAGATTTCTAGTAAATGGTGGTGATTACATGGAGAAGTAAATACAGGTAACAAAAGAAGTAATGTCAAGGATTATTTTCCTGTTTCATTTATTAAAATATTTATATTTAAAGTAATGGTGGAGGTATTATTTTTCATTGAACCCTTGCATGGTACTTACTTTTATTGGTCTTAAGTCTTCCCTGTTTTCCTCCTCCTCCTAATAATTTTCTTTGTCCTGATTGGTTTCCAGTTCAGTTTTGTGAATCTGTAGCATAGTTAGATAATTCTATATTCTGGATTTCTAACCATTTTAAAGGGCAGGATACTTTTCTGGATGGTAATATGAATTATTTTATTTATTTCAAAGTATGGTAAATCACTGTTGGAGGTCCATTTATTCATTTTCTGATGAGACCGTGGATTTTTTCTGAGGTCCTACACCTGATCAGCCTTCAAATTCTACCAGTGAACTAATGCTATCTTGATTCTGTCAGCTCAATTGTATTTGCCCTTATTGCATAGAGCCTTTTAGATCACACCAAAGACACTTTTAGTCCAATCTTCTACTTCAGTGTTCCAAACTCAACTAAAATTGCATAATCTTAAGGGCTCACTACTGCCAGTCAGTATCACATCATGTAGAAATAACTTAAAGATGTCATTATCTGTTTTATCCTATCAAAAAAAAAAAAAAAGATAGGATTGGAACTCACAGCTCTTTGACTATAAACAGAGAACAATTATTATAATGAGGCCATTATTTTGTACAGGATTTTTATTATTATTTCCTAGAGCTACCTCATGCTGGAATTTTACTGGTCCCTCTTCCAGCTCACTGAATTGGCTTCACATTTTCCTTTCTTCTTCTGGCAGGCGCCTTGTGTGGAAGCCTTAGTGGGAAGAAAAAGAAAAGGATGATGTATTTGACCACCAAAAATGCAGGTAAGTGAACTCTGCAGGTCTCATTTTTTCTAACTAATGCCAGAAGCAAATATAGTTGCAGGAATCCCTGAGAAAACACCATGTCCTGTAATCTTCTCCATCCCAGCATGTTTGTTTGTTTATTGTATTTATATAGCTGCCCATCTCACATAACCAATGTGTTATTCTGAATGAAAGAAAGGTAAGAGGAGGAAAAATTCTCTTTCTTTGCTCTGATTGATTGATTGATTCATTGATTGATTGAATGATTGAT